TGTGTGTGTGTGTGTGTGGCGGGAGGGAAGGGGCCCTTGGGCCTCGCTGCGGTGTGCCGTTTGCCGCTGCGGGCTCTCGTGAAGGCAGATGCGGAGGAACGTACACAAAGCCCTCTTCTGCCGTTGCTGCTTCTTTTTCCCTTAACGGGCCGGCAGTGCCTTGATCATTCCTTCTTCCCCTGTTTGTGCTTGTGTTGGTTGAATGCACCTTTTCCGCGGGCTGTTGAGGTGTGTGTGTTTGTCCCTCTCTCACCTTTTTTCCCTCCTCTCTCTCTCTATTTCTGCCCCTCGCTAGACTCTCTGTGCGTGTCTGTGTCTGTGTCTGTGTGTGCTGCGGTGGGAGGAGTGGCGATGGCTGGCCGTGCGCTGTTGGTGTGCGCCCTCTGCGTGCTGTGCTGCGCCGCCGGCGGGGGCCGGGCGTGGCATGTGGACTACTGCACGGGGAACAACTGGAAATCTTTGAAGGCGGTCAATTTCAGCCAGACCTACGAGGCTCTTTTGGATGAGTACTGTAAGCACAACCAAACTTTTGTGGCGGAAATTAAAAAAAACCTCACTGCAACTGCGGCCAGTACCGGCACCGGTGGGCAGGCGGGTGAACCTGCCGGTGTTTCCACGGCGGTCGGTGAAAATGGGCAGGCTGGCGGAAGTAGCAGCGGTACTGTGGGAGGAGCAGTGCCACCGGCACCGATCCCTGGCAGTCCCGCTGGTGAAGTGACGAGCAGCAGCAGCGCAGCAGCAGGAAAATCACCTGCGCCTGCACAAACCGAGACACAAGGCGAAGGCGAACAGGCGACAGAGGTGACTGAAGGAACGAGGGGAAACGAACGGCGTGAGAACTCTGGCATTGCTTCGCCGCAGGAAGAAAAGGGGGAATCTGAAGATGAGGGCAAAGGAGCCGTGGACGCTGCAGATGCCACGCAGAAAGCAGCAGCTGCAAGCCAGGCAGAGGCCACTTCACCGTCTCCCTCCACGCCCAGTGACGGCGCTGCCGCTGCCAGCGGCCGTGCTGGAGAGCAGACGGTGGGGGATGCCGGCAACACCCCATCGCCTGCGGGCGCGGAGCAACAAGACGAGGGACACCAACGTGGCGATGCCCCTGGTGCACCGCCAAGCAGTGCGAAGGAAACAGCACCGCCGCCCACCAATGCCACTAATAATGCAACGAAGGCGGCGCCCAGCGACAGTGACGGCAGCAGCACCGCGGCCTCGCATTCCGCCTCCCCCCTTGCGCTGCTTCTTCTGCTTTTTGCGTGTGCGGCTGCCGCCGCGATGCTGGCTGCGTGAGGGACTGAGTGCGAGAGAGGGCCGTGCACGCACACACAGCTCGTCCTTCTTCCTCTATTTATGTGTGTGTCCCTCTGCACGGACTCCCTCGCCCTCGCCGCACCCCACGAGGCAGACACGTAATGTGCTCGTATATATACGTACAACTCCACTCATGCAGGCCTGTCGGCTTTCTTTTTGTTTTTGCCCCCGACGAGCCGCTGCCGCCCTGCTTGGCCGCATGGGTACAGCACCGTAACTGTTTTTATCCTTCTTTATTGTTTGTTTGTTTCCATTGCTTTGAGTGGGCGACCTCCTCCTCCTCTCTCTTCCTGGACTGGGCTGTGCGGGAACAGAAAGAGAACGTGTGTGCGTGTGTGCTGGTCGTCCCACGTGTTGCTGCGCGTCCCCACTGCTCGGTGGACGCACCCCCACGCTTCGGCTTCACTTCACGGGGCTTATTTGCTTTTTTTAATTTCTCTGCTTGCGTTTGTGTTTGGGTGGTTTGGGTGTCAGCAATCGTTCCACAGCCCGTGTGTGTCACAACGTGCGGGCCCGCCCCCTCCTCCTCTCTCTCTTGTTGTGTGGCTGCGTGGGGTCGCGTATCTGTTTTTTGTCTCTCTCCCTCTCATTCTCCTTTTGGCTGGTGGTTGGTGCTCAGCTGCAGCTCACGCCAAGAACAACTACAACGAAGGAAAACAAAATAAGGGCGGCAATGCCCGAAAAGCGAACGCGGGCGCGTGCTGGTAAGAAGAGGGAACGTCTCGCCACTCATGCGCTGCGGAGACGGCCGCGGGCGAGGGCGGGGCCTGATGGCAACGCGAATCCGCAGCGCAGCGGCCAAAGAGGGCCCTTGAGAGTACGCTGGAGGAAGCGCTGATGGAGGGAGAAGGCCCGGTCAGTGAGATGCTGCCGAACGACTTCCTTCGGGAGTACGTTGGCGACAATAGCGCCGTGGAAGACGACGACGAT